CTGAACCCCCTAACTGAAAGAACGTTTGCAGACTGCTGAAAAAGGCTTTTTTTTGTGGGGAGGGGGGTGTGGGCTGGGGGAGGTACAAGTGGGAGATAATCATTTATCACGGCACTCAGGTGGCTGGTTTGCATACGGATCTTCCTCAGAACAGAGTCTTGGTCTCTTGTCCACTGCTGTAGCCCCAGCTCCTGGAACAAGTGCCTGGCAAACACCCCAGTTGTATCAGCTTGTCTTTCATTCCTGGATCATTCCTATCCTCATATAAATGTTGTACTTTCTCCAATCTTACAGAAACACTGTCCCCCACTGCAGGCTCTTTAAAAGAGCAATGTTCCCTGTCATCACTTCCTCCCCTCCCCCCCCCTTCATCCCACTCAACCAGGCCTTTGTTCCCACCACATCATCTCTTGTCAAGGTCACCAACTTCCACGTTGTCAACCCCAACACATATTTCTTGGACCTCGTGTTATGTGACTTCTCTGCAGCAACTGCCACTGGTGAGCCCTTCCTCCTTTTTTTTCCCCCCACTGAGGTATAATTGACATGTAACATTATATTAGTTTCAGATGTACAACATTATTCCCTATTTGTATATATTGTGAAAGGATCACCACAATAAGTCTAGTTAACATCCCTCACCATACATATTTACAAAAACCTTTTTCTTGTGATGAAAAAGATCTACTCTCTTAGCAACTTTTAAATATACAATACAGTATTGTTAACTGTAGTCACCATGCTGCACATTACATCCCCAGGACTTAGGTATTTTATAAGTTGTCCTTTTGACTTCATTCACTTTCTCCTTCTTGAAACACATTTAGCCTTTGGGACCCTGATCTTCCTACCTCTCCAGCCTCTCCCTAACTTCAAACAGCTGCCGTGCCCAGGGTTCAGACCTCTTCTCTGTCTGTGCTCTCCCAGAGACATGTTCACCCAGTCCTGCAGCTTTAAATAGCCAGATACTGAGGACTCCCTCGCTGCTCCTTCAAAGACCTCTGGACCATATTTCCACCTGGCTACCCAACATCCCCACTCTGAATCACCTCAAACTGAGTTTGTCCAGAACAGAATTCCTGACACTCCCTCACTCCCAGGAGTTCAACCTGCTCCACCCCCAGAGCTGTCCATCTGTGGCAGAGACTAGCCAGATGGTTACTAAATCCACTTCCTCTACCCAACAGACTACATTTCCCAGCCTCCCTTGCAATAGGGTGTGGCCACATAACTGAGTTCTAACCACTGTAAGAACCATTCAGCCTTCCCAGACTGTCCCATTACAGCCTGTTTGATGCAAACATGCAGACCTTTGGAAGCCATGTGTTAAAGATGTCAGGAGATGGGTCCTCAAATCACTGCTGTCCTGCAGATCAGGAGCACCCACTGGGACTTTACATGATTGAGACAAACACTTTTACTGTGTTAAATCACTGAGATGCTGAAGTCTACCTGTTACCACAGCAACACTGCTAATAATTAATATACCATCTCAGAAAAAAGGCACCACCATTCACCCAGCTGCACAAGTCGAAACCCTAGGGACTCCTTTTGTAAGTCCTTTCTTTCTCACTATCCACATTCAATCCAGTGACAAGGCATGAAGTCTCTACCTTCAAAATATACCCTTATCTACCTACTTCTCTGCCACCACTCTCACTCTGGCCTGAGCCACCAGATCTATCACTGAAGGACTGCACTAGCCTGTTCTCCCTGCTTGGCTTCTGTGTCCCATTCACCACAGAACAGCCAGAGTGACCTTTTCAAAACAGAAAATAAGACCAGACCCTATGTAAGTGGCCCTCGCTGAACCCTCAGACCTCCTGCTGCTTCCCTTCTCCTCACTCACCTGCCCCCATTCCTTGCACACTCATGCCTGCATTTGCTGTTTGCTCTGCTGGGCATACCCCTCCAGCTGGCTCAGTCCCTCCTCATTCAGTTCTCTGCTCAAATGCTTCCTCCTGGTTGGTTTCTCCTCACCACAAGCCCAAAAGTTGTCCCTCTGGAGCGTTCTCTAACCCCTTAATTACCTGCCTTTATTTTTCTTCGTAACACTTCTCACTACCCGAAATGAACAGATTTTATATATATTCACTCATTTGTTTACTGTCTGTACCCCTCAAATGCAGGGGTTTGTCTGTCTTCCCCCTGGACCTCAATCTCAACAGTGAGATTAAACTTCAGAGAAATGAACGGCTGGCTAGGTTCAATCATATGTACCTTCTACATGGTGAACTCACGTGGGCCTCCTGCAAGAGGGCAATTAAAGCCCAGGATTAAGCACTCAAGTCTGATTGTGGGGCTCAAATCTCCATCCTGCCACTTATTAATTAGCTGTGTGACCTTAAGGCATTTCTTAACTAATCTTAAGCCTCAGTTTCTCCACCTGTAAAAACAGGACCTACCTCATTAGGAATAAATGAGACAATCACATAAAACCTTAAGCCCAGGCCCTGGCACCTAGTAACATATTACTATTATTAAAAGTAACAGAGTTGATATTCAGCTGGCACACACTGGGATGGCCATATTAACTGTCTGTGACCACTCTGAATGGTTTGTGTCCACACTGTCATAGTTTTAAATTATTTTTAACATCACCCCTGGTGGTAACACTAACTATAGTCCTTGTGTCTCTCCTGCTTTTTAGAGCTGTGAAAGTTCTGAAAATGAACTGGCAGGCCTCTTGAAGGCCTCATTCCACGTTCTATCTCATATTATTTAGTAATGTTTCCTTGCTCTTCTACTAAACTGTAAAGTTCTTTAAACACGAGGCCTATATCTTTTAATTCCTCTCTCTTCCCCTGCTCCCCCTCCTCCTCCTGATCCCTGGCACTGCAGTTGGCAGTGGTAGGAATGTCATAAGTATTCCTGAAGGAAAGTCTTGCACAAGCAACCACTCCTTGGGCACTATGTCCATACTTGCCTGAACCTAAGAATCATCCAGGACACGTGTAAAGAACACAGCTGCCAGAGCCCCAACCTACATCTACTGAACCCAGAGCCCCAACCTACATCTACTGAGTATTGGGGGATATACCTGGGACTCTCTTTTTCTAATAAACACCCACTCCATTTTTTCATCAAACAAATTTGGGAAACATGGCCCTAAATTATCATCCATAATTGCCTTCTTTTTGTTCTCTCACCTGTCACCTATCACCCAGGTACTGAAAAACTTCCCTGCAATATGAGGTTTTCAAACATATGTCTCACAGACACTGCTTTACTTAAAAATCATGAAAATGTTCTCTTTTGGGGTTTTTTTGCATCTCAATATAGTTCCCATCTGGATATGTAATACCTTTGAAAATTGAGTTCTTATTGTACCCAAATCCTCACCCTCCTAAAATTGCATCTAAATCCAGTCTTATCTACCTACACTGGTACTAAAGTTATGACTCTTTTTCCCTTTCCCTTTTTAAAAGATAATGAGTGAAGTACATCCTCCTCACCATCGTTAAACAAAAAAAAGAAAAAGAAAAAGAAAAAATTTTAGGAGGGTCATTTTTTAGTCTTTCCAACTTATGACACATTTTAGATGATTTCACGACTGACTCATAAACAGCACACCTGGTAACAATATTAAAACCACAGAGACTCTCCTGTCCAAATCCTAACAGTTACCATCACATTGCAGAGCCCCCTCCTGAGAAAGTTACACCATTTCTGAGTCGTTAATAATAGAGTGAATGAAGCTTTCTCTTCAGGGCAATGACAGTTTCTGTTCCCTTTCAGTCCGAAACCAGTGTCCTTACTTCCCAAAATCACAGCGCAAGCTTTGGTCAACGCTGACAAAATGAAGGTTGCCTGAAACACAAAAGTACCGTGTGTCTCTCAAACCTTGGCTCTTTGAAATGACACGGAACAGCAGACTCTGAGTCATAGCTACCAACATTTTAATCCATTTTCTGAGAGTCCAAATGTTCCCAAGCTGGTTCTTACATAAGCTATTTCGAATAATGAATGTCCTCACGGTGGGCAGCCTGAGGGAAAGGTCCTTGCCTGAGAGAGAGAGAGGTATCCGGGTAGGGGTCCCGGCACTGCTACTAACTGGCCGGGTGAAACTGAGCAAGTCCCTTCCTCTCTCATGGCCTCAATTTTGCTAACTCCAAAAAGAGCTTGATTTAGATGACCCCTCTAACAACCTAAGAGTTGGGAGTCACCAGAGTAACTAAGACCCCATTTCCATCATGGACGATTTTGAGATAACCGAGTCCAACCCTCTCGCTTCAAAGACCAAGAATCCGAAGTGAAAGCCGCCCGACTCCCAGTCCAGTGCTCTTTCATCACGCCGCCCCTCCCAGCAACACGAATCCCTGAGAAAGAGGCGTCCAGCCCTGCCTCGGCTATAAGTGGCGGGCACACAGCCTATTTCACTGGTTGGGGTCTTTTTGTTTATATCTTTGTTTTCTGTCCCTTGTGGAAAGCGCAAGGAGACAACGCTTAGGCCAGACGCGGAACGCCCTACCCGGCGGCAGTCGCACCTGCTCGAGAGCTCCAGGTTAAGGTGACTGCCTACGTCTCCACTCGAGCTCTCCTAAGGGCGAGCCCGCGACAGAGAAACGATTCCTCTCTCCAGACCCCAGTTTGGCCCGGGCCACCCCCCGGCAGGTCCCCAAGCAGCTGTACCTGCTCCGCCACGGCGCGACCCCGCGCAGCAACCTCAAACAACCCGGCCCCACGGACGCCGCCATCTTGTCCCCAGCTTCTCGACGGGACACGCCCCCTTTTACACGCTGGTCGCACGCGCGTGACGTCACGAGCCTCGAACTCACAGCGCCAATGAAGAACGCGGAGCGTGTGCGGGCGGAGCTGTCTAAGCTCCTCCCCCGGCTGCTCCGGGTACCCTCCGCCTGACACTTCCGGCAGCTAATGGGCTAGGTGGGATAGGTGCAGCCGGTGGAGGTGCTTACAGTGCTAAACCTGGACCTGGGCACAGCGTTGCCAGTTCTCCTATTTCCCTCTGACGTGCGTTTCCGCATCTGCCTGGAAAATCTGATTTACTCAAGGTCCGAGAATGGATCAACTGAGCTAAATCGTTCATTTTACGGATGGGGAAACTGAGAGCGTCCACAGCTCAGCTACCATTGACTAAGCGCTTCCTAAGTGCCAGGCTCTGTGCTGATGACTTAGCATGCATGGTGTCTCATTCTTACCTCCCATCGCTGTACTACCTGGGAGTCCAGAGACCAGAGGTCTTGGATCACCCAGAAGTGCAATTAGTCGTCGAACGAGGTGCCGGGTGTGATAGCGCGTGCTCCTGCAAAGATTCCTGATCTCCAGATTTAAGGGAAAATAGACTTTTCAGTAGTATCAGTTTTTGTTTTTTTTTTTAAGTGGGCAGAGACTAGAGACCGCCAGCCAGCCCTGAGAATTATTCTCATTTTAAAGATAGAGAAAACAGAGCTCAGGAAAGTTAACCATTAGAATGCTCAAGGGCACACAGCTATAAAGGAGAAAAGCTAGAATTTGAACATACATCTCCGATTCCAAAACCCATGATCTAACATCCTTCCTTTTAAGCCCTTTGCCTAGAATCTGGCTGAGTATGGGTCCCCAAACTGAAGGAATACAGCTCCTCTTTTTTCTCCCCTAAGCTGCTAATAGCACTTGTCTTCACCAGGCGTTTGACCCAGGAGGAGGGGTATGTTGCCTGGTACCTGCAATTATTTCTACATGGTTATTTAAGCTCAACTAGGGCATAACCGGGCCCTACAGGGAGCCTAACAGGCATCAGATTTCCTATTGGAGAGAAGACACTTCCCTCTATGGTTTTCAAAAGTCTGAAGAGGAGGGAAAAAAAAAGTATAGAATTGGTTTTACTATTCAATTGAGAGTAGTAACTCAAAACCAGGGGGAAGAAAAAAGTGGGAAGGGGAGATTATTTCAAAATGAAATGCATTGGGGGAAATTGGATAGTCACATGCAAAAGAATGAAGTGGACCCTTACTTTACACCATATACAAAAATTAACTCAAAATGAATCAAAGACCTAAAGCTAAGAACTACAACTATAAAACTCTTAAAACATAAGGGAAATTTTCATGACATTGAATTCAGCAATGATTTCTTGGATATCACGCCGAAAGCACAGGCAACAACAAAATAAGATAAATTGTATTTCATCAAAGTTAAAAAGTTTTGTGCATCAAAGGACACTGTCAACAAAGTGAAAAGACAACCCTGAGAATGGGAGAAAATAGTCACAAACAATATATCTGATAAGGGTCTGGTATCCAGAATATATAAATAATTCCTAAAATTCAACAACAACAAAAAATAACCGAATTCAAAAATAGGCAAAGGACTTGAACAGACATTTCTCCAAAAATAATATACAAATGACCAATAAAAGATGTTCAACATCACTAATCATTAGGGAAATGCACATCAAAAGCACAATGAGATATCAACTTCACACCCATTAGGATGGCTATTATGAAACAAGAAAAAGGAAAATAACAAGTGACAAGTGTTGGCAAAGATTTGGAAAAATTGGAACACTTTTGCATTGCTGGTAACAATGTAAAATGGCTGTGCAAAACAATTCGGTTGTTCCTCAAAAAGTTAAACATAGAATTATCATATGATCCAGCACCTAGGTATAATCTAAAACAATGAAAGCGGGGACTCAAATAGAGACTTGTACACCAATGTTCATAGCAACATTATTCACAATAGCCAGAAAGTGGTTCAATAGATGAATAAATAAAATGTGATATATCCATATACTAGAATATTATTCAGCTATAAAAGCATGTGTGAAGTACTGTTACATGCTACAACAGGAATAAACTTTGAAAACATTATGGTAAGTAAAATTAGCCAGACACAAAAGGACACATATTGTTTAATTCCACTTATATGAAGTGCTTAGAATAGGCATATTGATAAACACAAAAATTAGAATAAAGGTTACCAGAGGCTGAGAGGACAGGGAAGGGGGATGGGTTCAGAGTTTCTGTTTGAGATGATGATTAAGTTCTGGAAATGGATAGTGTGATGATTGTTTAACATGTGAATGTACTGAATGACACTGAATTATACATTAAGTTAAAAATGAATTAAAAGGTTAAAATGGTAAATTGTATTATATTTCAACACACACACACACACACACACACACACACACACAAAGCAGTTAATAACAAGTGTTGATGAGGATGTGGAGAAATCAGAATAATCTTTCTGTCCCTATAGATTTCCCTATTCTGCATTTTCATATGAATGGAATCATATAATATGTGGACTTTTGTAACTGGCTTCTTTCACTTAGCATATTTTCAGAGTTTGTCCATGTTGTAACATGTATCAGTACTTCATTCCTTTTCATGATTGAATAGTATTCCATTATATGGATAGACCACATTCCTTTATCCAGTCATAGCTATGGACATTTGAGTCATTTCCGCCTTTTAGCAATTATGAAAAATGATGCTATAAACATTCATATACAGTTTATTGTATAGATATATAATTTCATTTCCCTTCTGTGTATACCTAGGAGTGGAATTGCTGGGTTGTATAGTTTAATTGTTTGAGGAACTGACAGATGGTCTTCCAAAGTGGCTGCCCTATTTTACATTCCCACCAGTAGTGTATGAAGGTTCCAATTTCTCCACATCCTCACCACTTGTTATTTTCTCTCTTTTCAAAATTACTATCATTATATCCAATCTAATGCGTATGAAGTGGTGTTTCATTGTGGTTTTGATTTGTATTTCTCTGATAATTAATGCTGTTGAGAAATTTTTCATGTGCTTATTGGTCATTTGCATATCTTCCTTGTAGAAATATCTATTCAGATTCTTTGCCTGTTTTTAAATTGGGTTATTTATCTTTTTATTATTGAGTTGTAAGTGTTCTTTATATATTCTAGATACAATTCCCTTATCATATATATGATTTGCAAGTATTTTCTCCCATTCTTTAGGTTGTCTTTTCATTTCTTGATGGTGTCCTTTGAAGCAAAAAAAGTTTTTAATTTTGATGCAATCTCATTTATTTTTTCCTTTGTTGATTGTGCTTTTGGTGTCATATCTAAGAATCCTTTGCCAAATCCAAGGTCATGAAGATTATACCACGTTTTCATCTAAGAGTTTTAAAGTTTAAAAGAGTTTTGTATATGGTGTGAGGTAAAGATCCAACTTCATCCTTTGCCTGTGGCTATCCAGTTGTCCATTGATTGATTTTCGTTTGTTAAATCAACCTGACATTGCTGGTTATTGTGTATTATCCTTTTTATCTATCACTGGATTCAATTTGCTAATATTCTGTTTAGGATTTTTGTATCTACTTTATGAGAGAGAATTGGACTGTTACTTTCATCTCAAACTGATTCAGGTGTATGAAGTTAGGTTCATTTCACCGTACACTTATTCAGTTATTCCACTACTATTGCTGAAAAGACTTTCCTTTCCCCATTGAATTGCATGGTGTCTTTGTCAAAATCAACTGAACATCCATGTATGGGTCTATTTCTGGGTTCCAAAGATTTCCATTTGTTCCATTGATCTATCTTAATTATGGTTGCTTTAATTATAAGTCTTGAAATCAGGTAGCATGGATTCTTCAACTTTGTTCTTCTCTTTCAAGATTATTTTGGCTTTTATAAGTCCTTTGCATTTCCATAAAAAATTTAGAATCGGTCAATTTTAGCAAAATGCCTGGTGGGATTTTGATTGGGACTGTGTTGAAACGAGAGATCAATTTGAGGAGAACTGACATTTTAACAATATTGAGCCTCCCAATCCATGGACCTGATAAATCTCTCCATCTTTGACTGTTTACAACCAAAAATATGGTATGTAAATTAGTACTGGCATACTCATTTTATTGCACTTTGCTTTATTGTGCTTCACAGATATTGTGGTTTTTCACAAATTGAAGGTTTGTGGCAACCCTCTGTCTAGCAAATCTACTGGCACCATTTTCCCAAAAGCATTTGCTCACTTTGTGCCTCTGTGTCATATTTTGGTAATTCTCACACTGTTTCTAACTTTTTCATTATTATTATATTTGTTATGGTGATCTGTGATCAGTGTCCTGTGATGTTACTATTGCAAAAAGATTATGGCTCGCTGAGGACTCAGATGATGGTTAGCACTTTTTAGCAATAAATTTTTAATTTAGGTGTGTATATTTTTAGATGTAATGATACTGCACATTTAATAGACTAAAGTATAGCATAAACATGACTTTATATGCACTGGGAAACAAAAAAACATGTGCAACTCACTTTATTGCAATATTAGCTTTATTGCGGTGGTCTGGAACCCAATGCCCAATATCTCTGAGGTATGCCTATACTTTTATTCATTCCTGGTCAATGCAAGCACCTTAGAACATTTAAATTCCATTTATTCTCTTCCAGCCTTTTGTGATGACATTGTTATACTTCATTCTATTAGATTTTGTTTTCACGAGGATGTACATAGCAGCTGTATTCGTAAGATGCCCAAACTAGAAACAACACAAATGTCCATCAGCGGGCGAGACTATGGATGAACAAATCATGGTGTGTTCATACAATGGAATGTGACTGTGCAACAAAATGAACAAACTCACAGGACTTGCAACAAGGAGGATGAGTCTCAAAAACATTACATTGAGCAAAATAAGTCAGACATCCATAGAGTAACACTGTCTGGTTGCAGTGCTATGAAATTTAAGAGCGGGCAAAACTATAATATTAG